CTCCTCCCTCCGCCCCCGCCGCCGTGCCCCTTCCTGCCCGCCGCTCCATGAAAATGAGATTCCGGGCGTGGGCCGCGCAGCTCAACAGCAGCTGAGTAACAAATGATCACGTTTTTATTGAAACGGTTCAAGACACGGAGTACAAATGAATACAGAGTTAAAAACAGCTCCCAGAAGGAGCCTCACAGTGAAAAAACAAAACAAAACAAACGATTTTTATTTTTTTTTTCCGAATAATTAAAAACAAACAAACAAAAAAAGAGAGACATTTTAAAGGATTATTTTACCTAAAGCCGAAAGTATAAAACCACACATTTATAAATAAAGCAGAAGGGATTTTTTTTGTTTCGTTTTGTTTTTTAAACGGGTGAAGGAAAAGGGCGGTGTTGGAGAACACAGGTAAGGAGTTGCCTGCCTGGTGCCTAGGGCGCACGTGAGACATGCGGAGCGGACATGGCTTATTCCCAACGCTGCTGCTCCGCTCTTTACAGCGGGTCACCCACACGAATACAGTTCCAGCTGCCCCCGTGTTATTTACACACATGATGCGAAATATGGGACATGCTGGTCCTATCCAGAGAAGGAAGTACCTGCTCACTCGGGGGCTGCTAGAAGACCTGTCTATTATTTTAATGAGGTTTTTGTCATTTAGTATCCTGGATGCTACACATCCAATGGGGTGGGGTGGGGGGAGACACCGTATACATGCATGAATTTACCAATGGTGTTTAAATACCTGTATTTCATTTTTCCTTATATATAATTATATACATATTCTTTCTTTTAAAAAAATTAAGTTTGTATGTTTCTACTCCCAGAAAGAAAAGTCCTGATTTGTCTGACTCATGATGAAATCTGCAAAACGGGGGACTGGGGAGGAGGCTGCTGTAAAGCCTGCCCCAACCATCGCCTGAGAGGTTGCATGGAAAGGAGAAGACAACCTGAGAGAGGAGGTGGAAGAAACGCAGACTGCCATACTCACACAGCTCCTGGGTGCTACTGAGGGATGGGGAGGAGGAAGGCATTACTCTGCCTGCAGCAGGAAATAAAACAAAAAGAGTTTGCTGCCCTCTCAAGTTGCAGCCCTTCCTACTGCACTAGTTCAGAGAGCCCAAGAATGAACCACAGGCAAAGCAATATTATTTACAAGATGGAAAAAAAACCCACAACAACTATTCTCCTTTTGACCAGGAATGCTGGGTTGGAGGGGACAAAAACGTATGTAAAGAGGACAGGTAAGTCCAAATTATTTCTTCAGGCTTTATGTTAAACAAATAACTTGTCTTAACACAGATAGTGGGATGTGGCTATGCTAACACCCACACAAACCAGTAAGAGGGATAGACCCAAGTTTATTACCTCCTCCCACAAGCCTCTTCACTTCCCAGGCAGTTACTATTCAATATTTCTCTGCCTGGCCCAAGGGACAGCCTGTGGTGAAAAATATTCACAAGGTGCAACAAAACGTAACACATTTACGCTCTCTTTGTTCTGTAAACTAGAATTTTTAGGGATATTTCCTACTGCCAGCAATAGGAAGTTAGTAGGGAAGAATCAGTTGGATCAGTCTCAAATCGTTAAGAGCAACACTATCTTCTCACCCCTTTCAGCAACAAACTTGTGTCACCAGCATCTCCTTTACTGGGCTTCTAATACTCAATTCGTCATATCCAAGCCTTGGGCAAACAGCTCACAACTTTACCATTTAAGAAAAAACAGTTCCTTAGAGGACAGCAAGCGAAGAAACTAGAGGCACAATAGGACATACTTCAAAACAAACCCCTTCTGATTCACTCTTCAATTACAGATCACTATCTCAAGTCCTAAATCTACTTTCCTGAAGCCTTTCTGTACTATATCTTTCGTAGGTATTGGCCAAATGGTGTTCCTCAGGCCAAGACTATCTCTACCTCTACTCTTTTCCTGAGTGTCCTACATACACTATTCTAATTTATTTTAAACTACATAAACATCCTCCAGCTGTTCTACTTGCCCAATACTTCTCTTAACATCATTCTAATCAGATTTTACCTCTGGTTTCCCGTATGCAGCCGTGGCCCCAAGCAAAATCAATTCCAGGAAGCCAAACCCACTCTGATCAGCTTAAAAATCGTATTTGCTTCACGTGACTCATTTCTGAGGAGCTTTGTTTCATATCTCTATGCCAGGTTCACTGGTTGTTGCTCTTATTGGGAATTTCACTCTCTTCACTAGCTCTTCTGTACCATCTCTGACCCTTTTTGTCACTACCTCGAAGTTTAAATAATAAAATGGAATAAAATTGCACAGGGAAGTAATATAAAGGACCCTCAAACCATTATCACCAGTACCAAAAGATACCTGGGTTGAGGGGACTGCTATTTTACCTGAGTGTCTTGTGGCCCCAGTACAGCAAGAAATTTCCTGTATACTAGGACGTATGTTCACAGTCTGAAAGTGGAGAAACTAATCACCTCAAAAGCAAGCTTGACTCACGCTAACTCCATCACAGACCCAACATGACTGCCATCATACACTCCACTCATGGCATCTCCAGCACACCTCTTCACTCAAGGAAACTGCCAGAAATTTCCTCTCTGACTTTCAACTTGCCTTCCTTTGCAAAGCCTGTCTGTGCAAGAGAAGCTGCCCATGGGACCAAGCACACCAGCTGATTCAGCACAGTGCAATGCTGAGAGAGGACTAGAAAGTAACACTTTTAAAGTTTCAGTACAAGCCCATGAAAGGAAAGGTTAGCAAGGACATCTGAAATATGATTAGGCAGATATAAATTACAGGCAGAAGTAGCTAGAAAGCTCTCAAAGCGCTCCCCATGCTGCCAAGTCTTGAAGCACTCAGCAGCGGTGATCAGCCAGCAAACCTGTTGAGGGGAGAAAGAGAACTGCAGATTTTTCAGCCCTGGAGTTATTCAGAAGAAACAGGTCATCCTACATCAGTCTGGCCAGCCCCGTAGAAAAAAGGCTGCACTGCAGATCTCCAGTCACAGAAAGACAAGAAGACAACAGACCACACTTCCAAGTGCCACAGGGTTTCAAAGAGATGACAGCCAGGACAGCAAAATGAAAGACGACTGCTTCAAGCCTGTAACCTGTGGAACCAAGTGATGCAGTCTGGCTGCCTTTGAGTGACTTCCACAGATGCTAGCGTTCTCTCTCCTGCCGAAAGCTTGTTGCATGCATTAGTTTTATAAACTAGGATTACACTGTTCTGCCTTAAAATAAACACAAGACAGACTGGAGATGGAGGAAGAAATAAAGCATTTTGTGTATCTGCCTGTTGTGGAACAGAGTGGGAGTAAGGGAAAAGGTGCTGAAGAATTTCATTGGTTTGAAGTTTTTTTTTCTTAGCTTATCATTGACTAAAGAAACATCACTGGACAGTTTTAAGCCACAACAAACACAACTTAGCATGGGCTTAGAGAAGCTCCACAGAGTGAGAAGAGTATTGCACACACAAATGCCAGAAGGGAAGATTTTTTTCTGTTTCTCAGACCAGAAGTTCATGAAAAGCAAAGAGGCTGGGGGCAGGGGAAATGCTGGTAATCACATCGCAAAATATCTTGTTTGATGTTCTTGGGAAACTGTTTTCTGTGGGTAGTTGAAATAACTTTACAAAAAGTAAGAGAATCCCAGCTTTCTTGGGATTTAAATGTTCTGTTTTCCTGGAAAAGCAAGAAGAAAACCTTTTCCTATCACAGTGAAATGAACAAACAACATGGATGAGCTGTTGTACTGAAGATCTCTCAAATCCAAAGTTATACTGTAAGAGATGGAAACCAGCTTTTCCATGTCACTTCTCAATAAATCATCACTCCAAATTTCCCAGTTATGATAACATCAGTCAATATCCAATCCCTAATCACGAAAGGTGGCTGAAACAAACTTTCATATTTGTATCTCAATCCCTTTTAAAAAATGTCTGCAGAAAACCCAGTCTGAATTATCAATATAATGTCAAATTCCAGAATAAAAATACCACTACTGAATCAATTAAATAATCTCCAAAGTATGGTCCAAGGGTTCCATAACCTTCCCCTGGAGGTGAATGCAGATAAAATACAGTGTGAGGACTGTCTTGTAGCAAGAGAAGAGCAGACACAGTCATCATGACAACAGTAGGATTACTCCAGGTAACAAAACTAAGGCAGGAAAAGAAAGAACAGCAAGACAAGATTTAAGCAGAAAACAGTTCATTAATTGCACAGACACTCCAGCCTGTCTCCCTGTTGGGGGTTTATAATACAGAGATTGTTTCTCGCTGGGATATGGCAAAAGGATTGACAGTTTTTGTTAAAGGACAAAGATAATAGCCACAAATGTGACACAGAGCAACAGTCAGAAAAATAAATTAATAAATAAACCCATAAAAAGTCTGCTTCTTGATTCTCATGAAGCCTTGGAGAGGAAGGGATTGGCTTCACTTGGACTCCTTTGTTTTTAATCAGCAGTTCAGATTTTCTTGGATAAACTGGATTTTCTTTGCTTTAGTTGCCAAACATCCTGACCTCCTGGCTATGAAGAAATTTCAAGGCAATTTCTCCAAACTCCTCTTTCAAGTCTTTGTCTAGAGACAGGAAGTTGAAGACCATTGGGGAAAAAAAATATTAAAATTGTGGCCAGCACATTGCTAAGAATTAAAGCAAGTCAGTTGTAAGGGTCTGAGGAAATCAGTTTATAAAGGTCTCCCCACCAGCCCTAGACCAGTGCAATGATAGCATTGGTCTGAAGCTCTCTCTGTGGTCCTCTTCTTGGGATTATTTCGGCATATTCACAAACATTTGAAAGCCACCCTTCTTAGAGTTTTTTGTCCATGCGCCGTTCCACAGCTTGTAGCAATAGCTCTGAGTACTGTTCCAGCAAAGCTAGTGTCTGCTCATCTCCTAAACTTTTGGGACTCGGTAAGTTGGCACCACATCCCTCATTCAGTGGGCTAGTGGCATCTTGTGGCTTTGCCAGTACCTCCTTCACCTTTGGAAGCTCTTCCTCATCCTTCAGAGAGTCCAATTCTTTCTTCATTGAGGAGAATGTTTCTGTCAGGAGGCCTGCTATTTTATCTTTGTCAGTAGAAGACTCCGTATCATTTAACACCTGAAAATAGAGAGGGGAAAAAAAAAAAAAGAACGCATTGGGGTTTAGGTAGAGCACCAAGAAAGCAGTTTCAGCTCTTTAGGGAAGTGAAGTCAAAGATTCGCAGACCATTCAAGCATCCTTTTCTTCAATATTTGAGACTGTCAATTTAGTGGCATTTAGATGCATTTATTAACATGCATCCAATACTGCTGGTTACACAAAATTCAGAAGCATTACTCCAATAGGATAGAGACGGGAAGCACATTTTTGGGTAGTGTTCCCCTTATACTGGGCCTAAGGAGATGCTATGTTTCCCAGCTGCAGTACAGGTCCAGAGTCTCGTTTTCTTCCTGTCTGGCAGCTGCAGCTGGTCACAGGAACAAAGCAAGGTCAGAGAGCTAATGCAAGCGCAAAGCCCAGAGCTGCAGAGGACCACATGACAGAAGCTCACTGTGGAAGTTTCATGCTTGTTACAGGAGAGTTGACAGATCAGTGCTAAGCAAAGAAAGGAAGAGCTGTTCTATTGCTCTACATGTAACTCTAGTCTGGCAGTGAGAGGGACTGGCGAGTGGTTGCATGTTCCCTCTCACAGCTGACTCACCACGTATCTCACATTTGCTAATCCTTTTCCCAGACATCAGAGAACAGCAAAACTTAAAGTTCCTACAGTATTTTGTATTTCTGAAGCACTGTATAAATATTAACTAATTCCCTAATACCCCTTTGAAAAAGAACATACTGTTATCTTCAGTTTACAGATAGGCTAAACAGACTTAAAAGTTAATTGATTTGCTCAGAGTACCATAGCAAACTGCTAGAAAATCCAAAAGCTGGAAATCAGGAGTTCCTGCCTCCCCCCGTTCAAGCTTAAGGTACAGTCAAGTGGACAACCAGGCAGTTTGTGTCACTGAACACCCAGTCAGGAATACACATTGAGCCAGCAAGCACATACATTGGACGCTCGTGGGCCGTGAAGCCAACCAACAGAGCTCGTGTCAGAGGTCACTCACCATGCGGTAAAGACGAATAGCTCTGCGCATGCTGTCCTGGAGCTCGGATACCACGTGCTCACACTGCTCTACGCTGATGCACAGTTCTGCAAGAGAGGAAAAATAAAAACCCAAACTAAGGCACAGACACACTCCAATATCCACAATCTCACAGTTGGGTAAGAAAACATTTTTTTTTTATAATATATATTTGAAAGACCATGTGCACACACTTCTCATTCAATTTTTAGGGCTGGTTTGAGCCAATCATTGAACAAGCAAGTTCTACATGAGCTTTCCTTCATGCTACCTAGAGATGCTGCTTGTTTCAAACATTCCTATTTTTCCAGTCTTTAGCTTCTCCAAAGTCAGCAATGTTTTTTCTCAGATTGTACATTTTTTGTTACCATCAAGAATAGTCATAGATTATCCATGCCATTCTCCATTATAATCAAAGTAGAGTCTGAATGAAGGCTTCAAGTGGCAAAAGAGATTGATGTGAGGTGCCTCTAATTAGCCTCCACCTAGTCAGAAATCTAAATGCTCCCCCTTCACATATCCTTCTGAACAGCGTATAACTAAGTGCTGAGGATGAAGGATTATACTAAATTATTAGTGTTCTCGACTGAGGACTGAGGTCCAGAGGAGTGTTGGCAAACAAACTCAGTCACAACAGAATCACGTTTCTGAGCAACCCAGGATACGCACTGCTAATACACCCTAATTTGAAAACGAAAAATAAAAGCAAGCAACTGAAGGACACCATCTTCTGCGTGCCCCCACCAGATATTATCTCCAAAGCATCAGAGTTGAAGGCCTGCAATGTTTTAATGAAATAAACACTTTCATGAGTTAGACATGAACCACGAACAAAGACATAGACACACACACAATGTGCAGTTATCTTCAGTTTGCAAAGGCCTGGACAAAGGCCATTCAACTTCCTTTAATTACCTAAAAACAAAACTTGGTCACATTAGCACTATTATTTCTGCAATTCTAAGGTCATCTTTGAAGATGCTGGAGGGGACCTTAGCTAATTTTATGAATACATCTAGATGATGTATAAACAAATACAGCTCGAAAAACATCTATTTATACATAAACAAACACATCTAGAAGAACAAAGGGGCATGAACAAATCCTTCCATCTGCATTTTTGTTCCCAAATCACCCAGCCTTGTAGAGTTTGAACATAGTTGCTTCAGTGCAGTCCAAGAGTCTTGCCTTTTTTTTTTTCCTTGCTGTCCCTCTCCTCCCCTCTTTTTGTTTCAAACCCAGCTGTTTCTTCTCATGATCATTTCAGGATTTCTCCTCTGATCATGCTTTTTATGCTGGTCTCCAGCTCTGTGAGCTGCTGGTCTGGAGAAAGGTCACAAACATAACATAAATGCTTGAGTAGCAGGCATTTTCTGCCTCTTGGGTGTGCAGAGCAGAGCTCTTAGAAACCAGCAGAGAATATTAAACACAGCAACAGTATTAAGCACATCTACAGCATTTTAACTGTAGATGTCAACATGCTTTAACAAAACAATTAAGTGCCTTTATCTGCAGCTGTTATACAGGCAGGAAAATGGAAGAACAGAAAAAGTAAGTGGAAACCCAAAGTCACAGAGCCAGTCAGAAGCAGAAGAGGTCTCTGTCAATCCTACAGTTCTAATCTAAACTGCCACACTAATATCCACAGAAGCCACAGTAAATTGTTCACGACAATAGCCAACTTGGCTCTAAACAGCTTTTCCAGCATCTACCACTAAAAATTTAGGAAACATGGTCTGCAAGAAGCTAAAGGCTGACAACTGTCTGCTAAGAAAAAAAAATAATTGGGGATTCACTGTGATAATCATCCTAACTCACTAAAGGATGTGAGGATCCTGTCAGGGCATGCTATGTACTGGGAGCCACTTTCAAATAAAAAAAATTAATCACTGCTGCAAAAAAATTGCTCTTTCTCTGCACCATCTTTGCTAATTCTACAAACAACTAACCAAAACCATGTGATATGTAGCTTGATTCCCAAGTGAAGAAGAGAAGACTCAGCCTGAAGAGTACAGACAACTGGACTGTTACTTCTCTGCTGTAGGATGTGGTTCCACAGCTCCACGCTGCATCTGCTGTTGAAGGAAGCATCACCTCTGTGGGGGTAGGGTCTGAAAGTTTCAGACACCCTTGCTATTCTACAGAGCAGCTACCCAATGGTATCAGAACAGTGGGTCCCTCACACAAAACACCACGTTTCATGTTTTACGTAAGACTGCTTCAATCTTAGGGTGTTCGATCTCTTTAGAAATGCAGAAAGAAAAATAGCAGTGCATCAAAACCAGATTATCCCTCTGCAATGCTTTGGTGCAGAAATATTGCGCTTAACCGTTGTGACAAACGGTGGAGCAGCCTGGCACCACAGAAAGTAACTGATTAGAGGATTACAGAGGTGTCTCTTCTCAGATATGAATAAGAACAACATAGCAAAAGAGATTAGAAACTGTGTACCGTATAGCCCCCTGAAGGTACAAGGTATCAGTGCAGTGGTTAACATTCTACTTCCTACTGCACAACTCAGTCGAGTATTTCAGGAAGGCACATTTCCTTTCAAGTCATGGCACAAAAGAAAAACCTCAAATGCTGTCGGACTAAACAGACACAGTCTTCTCTGCCACTGGAGGTTTTCCTGCCTTGGAGGACAGGATTTTTGCTTCCATTTGAAGTTACCTGCTGGTTTTCAGTTGATTGAAGTACCTTAAACCAGGTTCTGTAAGAGATCTAAGAGCTGTTTTCAGCAGGTAAAACAGTTTCTCACCTCACAGTTTTTTCTCCAAACTAGAGATAATTCAAAACTTAATCCACGTTCTTTATGCTCAAACCCAAAAGCTAGGCCTGCATGTGCATTCCATACCCAGTTTGCAGACGCGTCCTCAAAGCAGAGTGACAGCAGCAGAGATTTTTCTCACTCTCACAGGTGATTACAAAGCAAGGAACTCAACTTGGTCAAGCCTCATCTCACACAAGAAAACCATGTGCAAACCCTTCTAGACCCTGCACACCAACAAAGTAAAGCTTGAGCTGCCTGGCATAATTTGCTGTCACTATTATCTGTGCTTGCTAGGTCCAGCTAGCACATGTTGACCTCCACCTTCATCTGCTGGTCAGACATGCTCTGAGCGGGGCATGGGGGATGTAACCCACACACACTCAGAGGGATTCCCAGCATGTCAGCTTTTAGCACTGACCAGAAAGAGGTCTGAGTCCCTACAGGTAATTGTAGGACTAAAACCACGAACTGCTGAAGTCTACGAAAAACATTCAGCTAAAAAGGACCTTCAGACGTAAGACCCAGAGGAAATGAAAATTAAAGACTGAGAAAAAGATGTCAGGTTGAATAAGTGTCTCACCATTGAGGGGATGGCTTATGGAACGAGACAGGTGCAGACAGGACGAGACAGGCCAGAAGCTGGACGTAAAGAAATGTGATGGGATCGTGAGGCGGTTCACAAAGACAGGAGACAGAAGGGGGAAGATAAGAGATGGGTATCCATGCACACCTGAGACCTGTGCCGAGGCAGTTATAGATGTAGGAGACCTCGGCCTGATGGGGTCTAGTGGGCAAAGTCCAGGTTGGTTGTCTAGCACACAGGCGATGCCGGTGATCCTCTCCCTGCCCCTGGGCAGTGCGCCCCCAGGAGACCTTATGTGCTGGCCCTCTGACAACTCCCTCAGTTTTGGATTAGTGACCCCTTGCTCATCCTGGCAACCTGTCCTTGAGACTGGACTCTCCACTGGGCTCTCCTTAGCAAGTCCTGTTGGGATCTCTTTACCAGGAACCAGAGATCCAGCAGTTTGATTCTCCCTCTTGGAGGCTCGGACCTCAGGAAAAGAGGGTTTCTTTTTACAGGCTCCAGCAGGTGACTGTGGAGACTGTGGCTCAAGCAGGGTTTTTGTTTTGGTAGTGGGTGAGAAGGAGGCCAGCGTGGGTCTATCAGGCAATGGCTTGGGAATGTCAAGAATCAGATGTGCTCGGTTTGATGATGCCAACTTGCTGTGGAAGGACTTGGGAGATGAGCAGTTTACAACTGGCTGAAGTGCTGGCTTCACAGGAACGTTTTCTTTCACTGGTAGCTTAATCTTCTCAGCATCTGCTGTGGAATTAAACTGTGTCTTCTCTGCCACTGGAGGGCTAGTCCTCCCATCAGTCAGCATTTCGGTGGAGTAACCAAGGTACAGATTTTCCCCTACAGATATGCTCCTTGACATCTTAGCCCGGAAGCTGGTTGTGGGGTTCATGTAGGACTTTGGTTTTGCAGCCCTGACATCTTTGGCCAGCAGAGCACCAGATCCATCCATCTTCAACATACTGGCTGATAACACCCTGCAATTGTTAGGTCTGGGATCCTTCTCAACCACCAAAAGAGTCTGAGGACGCTGCTTGGCAGAGGATATCACTCCAGGACCCTTATCTGTGAAAATTAAACAGATAAACATACCAAAAATAGAAAAGAGCCTGCAGCACATTTCAAAATCGGAAAGTAACAGAGCTGCTCCAGCCTATGTGCCTCTATTCAGCCCATGGGAGAGGTCTACAGAACCATTACTTCAGGTTAATATCACCAAGCCTCAACAGCTTTGTTTTTTGCTCATCCCTCATCCTGCTCACACACTGCTGCTTACGTGATGAGAGAGACTTGTTCTTAAAGCACAGGCCAGAAGACCTCAGACCACCACTACCATTAACTGAGAGGCCAGAGGAAGCAGGAAAAAACTTACAATATCATGTTGCAGTGATAAGGTTTAACTTTTTTAAAAAACAAACTGAATGCTTATTAATGGCTCATGAATTGATTGTTCAAAAAATTGAGTTCTTTCACAAAGAGTGCATGGATACAGTAAGCTCGCTCTTACTGTCTTGTCCTTCCCTCTTTCTCTCCTCCCCACCCTGGGGAGCTTCAGTCTTGGCCTGGAGCAACCACCCGCAGCAAAAGAATTTATTTGCAGGCAGTTCATTTCACCCTTGGCATTGCTCCTCCCACAGCTGCCAGACAAATATCAGAGACTGATGATTAGGAGACCAGCATTTGCATTACAAATTAAAAATAGTTTCCCTTGACAGGCTAAGAGTTAGAATACATGCAAAGCCTGTAGCTCAGAATGCAGAAAGACATAAGCTTAATTTAATTCTCTACTCAAGCTCAAATCTGCCCATTTCATTCTCAGGCTTATACCATTATTCCAACCCGTGTCCTTACCCTCATGAACCAGGTCGTGAACTGACTGCGCCTTTCTCATCACTGCATTCACAGGGCTTTCTGGAAAGGATGCAATAACCTGTCCAGAAGCCATACCAACTCTGCTGGCCTCCAAAGCTGATCTGCGCCTTTTCTGGACATAAACAGCCCGATTTGAATTTACACTCTCCAGGAATTGACTGTTCTCCAATGCATCACCAGGATGGCTGCTGCCATTTTTCAACAGGTCTGGTGTAAACCGATTGGTCTGAGTTGGTGGCTCGATGGGCTTTGAATCCAGTATCAGATTTGACGAAGAGAGTGACAATCGTCTAGAGAACACAATAAAGAAATCCCAGTTAAAACAAGTAAATACATTGCCCTGGACAAACAGGTACACACATTAAGCCAGTTTCTCTGGGATAAAGAGCCCTTCCCTGTCTGGACTTCAGTCAAAAATGCCCTAAGCTGTTAACATTTCATTCTACTCATCCGTGGAAGCACTAGTCTTCAGGCACTTGACCTTAGGCTGCGCAATCACAGATAGCATTGGGTCACTGTTTCCAGAGGGGACACTGTAAAAGGTGAAGGAAAAAGAGAAGGAAAAATTCCAGGCAGAGGGAGGACTGGGCAAAGTCAGGTCAGGTCTTTTCTCTCAGCTCACCTTACTAACAATGAAATATTTTCAATTCTAAGATACTCTAAAAGAAAGTAATTATACTTTCCTAACATTATGAAAGCACAATTACTATGAAAGCTGGTCAGTATCCTCAAGAGGAAAGCCTAATTTCCTCTTCCTCTCCACTTCAGACAAGCACAGTGGGCTTACTTCGGAAAGGAGGCAACTTTCAATCTGGCATGTTTGCACAGCTGAACGGATTAAAAGCCCAGAGTTTTTCATAATCTAAAACCACCTCTCTTGTTACATCTCTAGAGCCCCAGTGGCTTCCTTCACTCACCATTGCAACTCTCCAGAAGCTTACACAATAACTAACTACTAGCTTTCTTCCCAAACATACAGTCCCAACACAAGAGACAGACTGAGGCATTCCCGACAGCAGCAACAGCAGCCGAATACAGCAATGACAAAAAAATTTCCCTAACATGGTGAATCTAGACACAGCTGGTAAACCATAGAAGTTGCATGCAAATCTGCTCAGTCCTATACAAGGAAATTAATTTGAGCTGAGATTTCAGGGTGTCATTTTAGAGGAATTCAGGAGTATTTGTTTGTTTTAAACGTTTATGAAACCAAATCAATGAAAGTAATTACATCATTTTTTGTTCTTTTTTGTTGTTGTTGTTTCTTTGTTTTTGTTTTGTTGGGATTTTTTTTTTAAACAACAAAAGAAACAGCTTGGAGAGGCCTTTTGGGGTGCTTTAGGGTTGAGGGTTTTTTTGAAGAATAATATCCCCATGGGGCTTTGCATGAGACACCAGAGCACCCTGTCAAGGCATGGGACTGAGAAACAAAGCTGAATAAGAAAGAATTTTGAAACAAAGGAAAAGTTGACAAGCCTACTTTCATTGTCCAAGCTGAATGAAATGCAAAAAAATAAACAGAGCATAAACAGTGAAGAGTAAATTAGATGATTAGCGATTCCTCCAGCTTAATCAAGCAAGGCATTAATCATGAAACAATTCAGCATATTGTTGAAATAGGAAAAAGAACAAAACAACAGTGTTGCTTTAGGAAGAAATAGAACAGCTAAAGTGACACAGGACAGCCTGTCCAAATCACAAGGGTCTGCAAACAGCCTGCGAGGTGCTATGCTAACACTTCTCTGTGCCTAGGCACATCAAGGCCAGAAGTTTGCTCAACTATTTTGACCCAGGGCCTCTCACAAGACCAACTCACGCTAGCCAAAACAGACAGATTTGAGAAACACTCAAAACAAGCAGAGCCATACCTGAGAGCCGGGGACTGGGAAAGAAAGCAAGAGGAAATGCTGCGGTTTTCAGTTCTTTCCAGATTCCTACATGAGCCACCTAAAAATTTTGGTCAAAGGGGAGAGAAAAAGGAAGCAGTTTAGTTACAGAACATTCTAACACATGCATTTTCTTATCACAGAGACTATCAAATGTTGCCCCATGTCCAAGGGGATTTTTTTTTTTTGAGTTAAAACTACCGAGAAATAATTTCATTGCCTTTGCCTTTTCTGTTCTACTTAGATTACTCTCCCTTAAACTGCTCCTTTCCCTAAGGGTACGCCTCCTCCTTTTTCGCCTTTCTTTGTGTCCTATCCTGCCTGTAGGACTGTGAGGCACTGGCATCAAGCAGAAAACAAACCAATCAAAGGAGGAAAAAGAAAAAAAATAAAATAGACAACTTGCATAGATATTGCTGCCTGCAATCATTATCAATTCTAAAAAGATACACTTTGTTCTGGAGTTGGTCGATAAAGACTAACCAGCTCCTTTGCCACCCTGATGTCTCCTCTTATTCTATTCCTCCACCCAGCATTTCAGTCTTTTCTTTTGTGACATTTGTTATGCCTTAGTACACCACTAGAGGCCACTACATGTCACCTATGGGGGGGCGGGGGGGGGGCCGGGCGGTGAACACACAGTTTATACATTCATAGACTACAGGAAAAACTAGTCCAGGAACAAGAGAACGGCTTTTCAGGATGCCAGGGACAATGCTTACCCCAAACTGACAGAGACCCCAAACTGACAGAGACCCCAAACTCATCTACACAAACATATAGACCAGCGGAGTTAACAGATGTTGCTCTTCTTCAGGCCTCTCTACACTGATTCCCCATTTTTGCTCCCTTGCATGCACACACCCATGAAAGCCTAGCAGAACGTGTAGCCTGATTTGATTTATACAGGGGACAGATCTGGAGCGACCTCACAAAGTCCCCTCACCAAGCAGAGAGCTGTACCTTTTCCATCTGTGCTGCCCAGGGTCCCAAAATGCTGCTTGAGGAACTTTTCCTGATCGGGTGTCTCTGGGATTTCTCCCTCTGGGATGCTAGGACCCACATCCTCCTCTCCTTCCTCTCCCTCCAGGTCTGAGATGCCATCTACACTTAGAGGCTCAGTGCTTTCAGAATCTGGGAAAAGGCAAAAAACCCAATGCTGTAATAGCATAATCACAGTAACACTAGCCAGGTTAAAAGAAAATACTCAACAACAATGCTAAATTGAACTTAGAATGTTAAAGCAAAAGTCAGTCAGCATTAAGTGTATTTCTCTAATCTACCATACCCCATGAACAGCATAGCCTATGGGATAATCAACACTAAACCTGCCTCCTTACCTAGCAAAGTAAAAGAAGACCAAAGACACACAAGGAAAGTGCACTTTAACCAACTCCTGCTTCTACAGTGGCTTCACTGAAGTGTCTGTTCAAATGCACCTGAATCTTTACAGCAATACTAGCAAGGCTAATAGGAGTGTGATCTCAGCTCAGCTCAGGTAGAGGGTCAAGTGTCAGAGACTAGGATAGCAACTGGTAAATATGCCATAGAACCATCCCAGCAAGTTTCTGCAGTGTTCCACATCACATATAAATACATTTATAATGTCTTTGCATCTTACCTTCATTTGGATGGTCTGGGCTGGACAGACGACTGCTGCTGTAATCTACAGAGCAGGCACTGTCAGGACTGTGTTTGTCTGGGCATCCATTACTGTGATAACCTCTAGTTAGCTTCCCATGGGGCAAAGCTTTTACCTGGAACTCACTACAAGAGAGACAGGAAAGATACAGCACTAGAAGAGATATTTGTTTTACATGCAAAGCAGCACATTCTAACTTTAATAAGGCCTTACCTGTGTTAGTAATACCTATGATTACAAAAGTAAGGCTTTAAAGAGAAAAAGAAGTTGATTTCTCTCATCATTACACAGTATATTTTTTGCATTTCATTAAGCTTGGACAGTGAAGTCTCAAGGGGACTGTCTGACTTTCTGGGCGTTGTCAGTTTCCCATGATTACCAGGCACCAGCACAGCACTGCCCTGGCTTGATTTCCAGCAAAGGTGAGGAACAAATGTACAGGTCTACATAATGAAAAAAGGACTCAAACCAGGCCTATACCTGCATGAGAGAAACTCCAGTACACCATAGATTTGAGCCCTAATATACTACTTTTTCCATGTTTATGACCTGCTTCTTCGGGCAACTTCAGTATTGCAAAATAGAGAAGATTCTGGGTTTAAGCAAGACTAATTTACTGAAGAATGTTGTACAAAAATACAATATCGTAGGACACGGTTCCTGATTTCGGTTGTGATTTCACGAGTCTTATTTTGTCAAATGACACCAGCACCATTCTTTTGCCTGATGCCTGAGGGCTTCAGTCTTCCATTTTATGAAATACTTTGGTTTCAGATGTACTCCAATGCAAGGGAGGATACAGAAGTCATTCAATGGAACTGAATGGCAATTACCCCTAGCAGCTTGCAAACTCTCTATACTTTGAGATGTGTCCAGTCTGTATCCAACATCACCAGAGGACCTCCCTTTCTTACATAATGGAGCAGTACACAGGTCTGCTCTGTCCAAATGTTATCATAATAAAATTATAAAGGTGAAGAAAGAGAAATCGGTAGAAGCCTAGCAGCTTCAGTTGCAAAATCTTGGGCATGCACTTCTGCATAAAAGCCCGTCTAAAGCTATCAGCCCACTCTTTGTAACAGAGCAGGAGAAGACAGAGGAAATTAAAGAGCTATTAGCATCAGGTTAAGAGGGCAGGGGAAGAATAAATTCAGGGAAGGAAAAAAATGGAGCACAGAATGAAACAGAAAATTAAGTGAGGTAAAACTAAAACAGAAGAAACAGCAGCAGAAGAAAAAACATCTCCACTGTCTCTAGTGTTCTTTTCAATTCCATCTATCTCATGCAAGTCATTCTATTTAATAGAATCATAGATTCTATGTCCCACAAAAGGGTCATCACATACATTTGTTAAATTCTTGCCCAATTAGGTTTGAAAATGCCATAAATAATAGTGTCCTGTCATTTCTCCTGGGCAGGTATTTCACTGCTATGTGTACGCCACTGTTGAGTGGTTTTCCAGCTTCCAAGTTTTCCCTTGCTTATTCCAACCCAGATAAGGGAGAAAGCAAAAAGGCTGCTCCAAAGTTGTTTATTCAACAAAAAACTTGGAAGAGGCCGCTAATATGCAGTTTCCTCCGAGAAAAGATTATTTTAATGGTGCCTTCTTAGTTTCAGATTCCTTTAGCAACAGGCTGGCATAAAACTCTCAACTAAACATGCCTGGCATCAACCACAAGCTGCAAGCAAACTAAAACAGAAACATCTAAGCCATGCACAGCAGAGAGCTTATTTTTAACCTGCTAGGGTCTGTGGGATGGATTTCATCTTGCTCAGGGTAGATTACACACTCCTCACTCTCAGAAGGTTCCAGTTCCTGAGAGAAAATCCCCTCTTCACAAGACACAAGCCGAATCACTTGGGGTCGCACACAAGTCCGGTTATCTTGGGGAGGTATTGAACTGCCAACCTGGTTTAAAAAGAAAGAAAACTAAATTTTACTAGTGTTTTTCCCTGAAGTCAGCAAGTGCTGTGCAGAGCTAGAAAGTATGCATTACAGCACAGAATATGATCAGAAATCTGCGATCAGAAGACACAGCACTCCTGTGTCTTTTCTGTTCCTTATTTACTAAACTTGATGGACTATGGCTGTAATTTCCTATTTTGTTTCCTGTTTGCAATCCCATAAAATCCTCTGGTAAAGTACTGGACTCCCTATCCCTCTTTAACCACACATCAGGAGTGTAAGCCATGTGGCAGCAGGTTCTTCTATTACCTTTTATAGACTGATCAGACATAGGTCAGAGAAGTCTGTGGGCCACAGCTGAAAAAACACTAATTTACGCACACAACGAGTCAAATCCTCTTCTCTGTCACGCACTTTTGAAGGAAGGAAAACCTCTAATGAAGTTAAGCACTAGGACAACTGTAACTGGAAAACAGGCATTAGCTTTCTGAGGTATGAGGACACATTACTTACTGTGATCCACGATACAAAGATTAAAGAGAACTTAATAATCTAGCACAGCCCACAACTAAGGGCATCATATGAGCCACATTTCAGTGGCTATTGGAGTCAAGAAACTGCACCCCAGCAGAGGGAGCTAAGAGGTAACCAGGTACACATCTGTAATTTTGAGCTCAGCTTCTCAGCTTCTTTTTGTCATAAATAATCAAAGAGCTAAAAGAAAACATGAGGTCTTCCCATTGTAGGAAAGAAATCTTTATCCCATATAAAGATTTATATGCTCTACAATAAGATGGCAGAGTCACATGTTGCAGGAGTACAAACTGCAAAAGAGTTATCTAAACAAGTTTCTCAGAAGGTGTTTAGAGCCACCTCTAAAGATATAAAGAATAGCATAAAGTAGTAATAAATGTAGGCAATAATAAACAGAGGCTGGACATATGTACTCAGAGTAGATTCACCTCCTCAGAGTAGTACTGCCCTTACTTTGTTGATGTGCACAGGAAGATCTGCCTGCTCTTCTCTGTCATCTCCAGTGCTGTTTTGAGACAGTGAGTCTCGACTTGGAGAACGGGAAACAGAGAAAGACTCCAACTGACGCAAGTCAAGCATGGATTTCACAGTCATCTCTATGTTGCTGGTTGGCTGGGACCAGCGCCCACGTTGTCGGGGCATCTTGTTCATCGGTGCCTCTGAGCACTGGATTGCCGCTATCTCTTTGGCCTGAAGGAAATTGAAAGACAGACAGTCTTAGGGACTGAGTTCTGCTGATGGAAAAACAGGAGAGAAAACACAAGACCCATGGAAAAAAACATTTATGTACCTGTCCATAAAAGCCCCAAAGCTGTCTGTGAGAGAGCTTAAAATTCCTCCCTTAATCATAAAGCATCAAGCAAGGATGATACTTTGTTGCTGCTTCTTGAATAACTGAACATTTAAATGCTTCACTTGTATCCAAGTATATGATCAGCTTCAGCACCAGATGAGATTCAGGCCAGAAATGAAGGGGCAAAAGCATAACATCTGATGAAAAGATACTAATGTAAAAATCCCAAGTGAAACTGTCTCAAACTAGGCTCTATTTTGCCATCTCCAAGTCATTTTTCACAGAGAGGCTTCTCAATGGTTTCCCACCGCAGCTGCACCTTTCCTACGAGTGCAAATGAAGTTTTTAATCTCCATGAGAATTTCCTTTCCAGTTTCCCTATGACAAGAAATACAGTTTGAAAGTTTAGAAACTCACCCTCCTCATTTCCCAATGGGAAAGGCTTCTTGATAGAGTAAGGTCTGGATCTGGAAAGGGAAAAAGATACATACCTAGTTGACATCCTTGACCAGCAGTCCAGCTTTTTAAAGACCTCTTACCTCATCTTTCCTCAAAGGCAGCATTCCTACACCTTTTGAACCAGCAGATCACTGCTAACGCATGCTTTCCCATAGACTACCAAATCGTTGTATCAAAATTTTAATGGAGACGTACTGTTCTATGTAAGATTTTCACTGACTCAGCAGACCTATTGCAGAACACTTGCCACAGGGCCGTGGCCCACCAAAGGCTTGGGAAAAAACCTTGCACCGATACACTGTAGCATCTGTGGTAAAACCAGATTAGTAATGGCAATCTCTACTGTAAATTTTATCAGACATCTCTAGAATCCTCCGTCAGATCTCTTTTGACTTCTGCGGACTTCTAATAGCTTGTAGACCCAAGTGCAAGACACTAATTCAAAATTTGTTTGGCCAGCTGGAACGAGCAAGAAACTTGGCAATTTAACAAGTGGATTTCTAATCAGAGAACTCCAAAACATACCCCTCTTCAGATGCAGGAATGGGCAACTCACATTACCCATTGGTGTCAATCCATCTGTTTCTGTCTTGATCTTTCTCTTCCTGCCTATATCTTGTTATCCCTAAGCCAGTGTCTCTCATCTTCTCCCTTCTTCACATTCATGCCATTTTTCTCCACCTCTGCCCATGCCCCTCTCCCATTTATACCTGAGTCTCTCTCTGTGTTACAGTTGGACTGAATACGGAAAGACTGCAGCCCACGTAACTCATCTTCATCATTCCCTTCGTCTTCACCATCCTTGTCGCTGTCTGATGAGAGTGCAGGCACAGAGGACAGGGCAGAGATGGACTCATGCCTAGGAGGCAGGAATTGGAAGGAGTATTATGGTCTACCTCAAAAATTGCCCACCATTTCAATCCTTACACCAGGCAGTTCTCCACTTTCTCTCCATCCACACTCAGCAGGCTGCCTCAACTCTCCCAAGCAGCCCTCACTCTAGCAAAACCCATCTCTGAGAAACAGGGCAAGTTAAAGCCTGCACAAAGGTGTGTAGAGTCTGCCACAGCAATTGTCTCCTATGTGTGGAAGGATGACAGAAATCAAAACAGAAGCAAACGAGACCAAGAAGGTCTAATGGAATGAAATGTGGCCTTCCATTTCAGGCCCTGCCAATTGATAAGATCAAGATGGTAGAGCATATCTGAAAGACAAATATTTTTCCCACCCTTAAGCATTTCCTCTCTGGAACTGTTTTACACATCAAAAATGTCACAGAGATACTCCCTGTTTGATAGCAACTGTGTATATGGCAAATTATCACATAAGAGACAGGTTCATACCAAGGATTACACACACAGACCCGAAGGCACAGCCCACACACCCTAAGAGCACCGTGCTGCCTTTTTTAGCCTTAAGGCACAAGGAATAATGTAAAACCTATTTTGGGCAGATCTTTAACCAAAGTAGATCAGACAGGTGTTCCCATACAGACCTCAGAGGCACTCCCAGCACAGAATTCCCTAATACCAATCAAGAACACTTACCAACACCAAACTCTGTCTTCCCTCTTTCTTCAACTCTTCCCCTTTGTCCCTTCACCCCTTCAGTCAATAGAACCAAATGAACTAATCCACTTTGGACAATAATTGAACAAATGAAGAACCTCTAACAAATAAATTTGAGTAGTGCCCACTCCATGGCCTTGAGCTAGAGTGCCAAACTTATCATTAGGGACATTTATAGGATATCACCAGTGGGTGTTGAGTGCCAAGCGTTATTCATGAAATAAAAATAGCTCATCCACCAAATACAGAGCAGCCTGGCCAGGAAACAACTTCTCCTGCAGCTGACAGATAGCAGGAAGTATTGAAACATGGTAAGAATTAGTTAAGATATTTTAATGTTTTCTCACAAAAAAAGAGTGAAACTGACTGCAGTCTGCAAAGTCCTCCAGTGAAACAGTTTCATGTTGGCTGTCCTCATCTACTTTTGACATTTGTCAGTCTCTTCATCTTTTCTACTGTCTCCTGTGTCCGTCTTGTCACTCTCAGGTTCTTGTGTCTAAGCAGGGGAATCTCAACAAAATTCAAGCACCACAGTACACTTAAGGTTATGCCATGTCTCATCCTATGAGGCGCATTACATTTGTATATGGTAAGCAATATTAACTTTGTATCAGTAACCTTGATAGCATCCTTCTGTTCGTATTCTTAATGGTTGTTTGAAGAGTTTATTGAGGAAGATGGGTTGGATTATTAGATATTTTAACATCTAACTGGTTGAATACCTCACTATGATGAAGTGATATGGCAAGGTAAGACTATTTGTTTGCCAAACTCCTTCATGTACTGTCATTGGCATAAATGGAGAAGGGAGGATTGCTATCAATGTGGTTTATATCAGAAAGATGGCCTCTGTCCGTCAGATGGTGACTGACAAAATTAGTATGGGGGAGGGGGAAAGCATGTTCTAATATCCTCAAAGGAGATGAGTAAGAGAATGCAAAACATATTTTGGAAGTCAGATGGATGGGTTTTCATACTTCACAGAAAGTGCCAAACAAATTATGAAGTCACATGTGTCTGATACAAATGTAAGGGTATCTTGCATTATCCCAGAAAAATTCATGTGCCCCTTCCACGTCCTCCTTTTTACAACTCAAATATGCTTTTCAGACACACAGTCCTGTGACTTGAATGGAGATAACTCAATGGGGTTTTCAAAAGATCTTAGACCCACTGACTTGAAACTGAGATACTCCTGAAAATGGAACCTACATTCATAAAGTCTTGAGAGTTTTAACTTTTGTGCTTGAGGAAGTCGATCCCTCAGTTTGGACTTCACTACTTTCTCTGTTCTTTCCCTGCCTTCCTCTATGTTCTTCAGATTTTCTCCTAAGTCTTTCTGTTGCACACATCTCCCCAACACTCTTCCTCAGTTTTTGTTCATGTTTAGATAGAAGTCAGAGTAATGTAGGGTGAGGTTTCAAGCACAGGACCTGCTTCCAAATAAGCACTACACAAGAGCATTTTGAAAGCGAAGGAGTAAGACTTTTGGGTTTTGCTGAATTCCTACTGAGAGTGGGTTCAGCCAAACCCCAACAAAACATCATTATACCAGAATGAATGTTTTCAGAGTAGCTATTCCAGAAGAGCATGTACAGACATGTCCAATTGTCATGATACATGTGACTCACTTAGAGCAAGGATTTTAATTGTCCTTGCTGTTGTCGTCATCCTTTGCTGAGGAACTATCTCATTCTACTATCATGCCTGAGTCTTGTTCTGTACAGACGGGCAGAGCATCAGTTGCACTTCACCTCCTAGTTTCTGAAGGGTCTGCCGTATAGGATCAATGGCAGGGAAGGACCTTCAGTTAGAAAGTCTTCAGGACACATATATAGTCTTAACAGTGCCATATGTCTTTACTGAGTTCTAAAATTAAGACATCTGATATTAGGTACTCTGTATTCTTTTGCATGTCCTGAATTCAACCCTTCTTTCTTTCCTTAGAACAAAACAAAACAGGCAAGAATGGCAACTATCCATTTAAAGAGGTATGCCGTCAGCATTCCCACTCTGATCTTGTGCTACTTAAACCCTCAGCTCTAGGGGCATATTTATGAAACTGTAACAACCTATGTGGTAGGGATGACTAGCAGACTGCCTCTCCCACCCCCACCCCCACAAATGCCTAAGGGTTTTAAAAAGAAAGTTACCCCACTTATCCCCACAGAAAGACCACAGTGCCACTGATTTCAGAGTTTTCCTGGTGTTATGATTGCAGTCGTTCAGCAGAGACTCAGGCACCTCTTCAGATCTGGCGTCAAAAGCCTGCCCCATTCTGAGCCCTGGAAACTGCACAGCTTTCATGGACCGGACCAAAGCCTCACTGAGAATATGATAAGGAGCTCTTCTTTCCAAATATACCTGACAGCACATAGTACTTCTTCGGCATACATATATAAGTTTTAGACAATTTAACTTGGATAATATTTCTATCTTCTCCTATTTATACTAGAGTTCCAATAAAAGTCACAGAAAAAGTTACTTTAAAAATTAAAATAAAAAATATAAATGCTCAGCTAAAACATGACTATAAGCCCTGCAAACATTCCACAGTAAAATAAATTTAAAACTTCTCTTCCAAAATTTGAGACAAGCTTTTCTAAACAATAAATGCATACTTGGATCAAAACCAAAACCCTATTAAAAGGCCCTTACATGGTTCCTTCTCTGAAAATATAAATGCCTCAAAACCAAAATGGACCAGCAATATCAGCTGAGTACAAGTTCTATTATCCCAAACAACCAAAGCTCCTCATGTTCGGCAGATGAGAGAAAAGCACACATCTGCAATTATCACAACCAGAGGCAGAACTGAAAGGCTCTCAGGGGCACTCTGGAGAACTCTGGGTCGTACAGGTCAGATTAGTTCCAAAATAATCCAATGTTCCATAAATGTGAGTCAGAGAAATCCTTCAGAGGAGAAACTTTAGTCTCTTTAGTTTTTGGAGGGACTGAAAAGGCTGGGACTCTTCAGTTTGGAGAGAAGACTGGATGGAGAGAGGTTATGATAAAGGTTTACAAAAATATGGGGACGACAGATGGCTGACGCAGAAGGATAGTTCACCAAAGCTCACAATATTCAGAAGCAGAGAGCTTTCAATGAAACTAGTGGGAGTGTCGTTTAACAGAGACAAAAAAAGTCCTTCTTTCCACAGAGAGCAGTGAACTCCTGGAACTTGTCGCCAAAGGAGGTTGCAGAGGCAGACAATATTAACAGTTCAAGAAGGGTTTATACAAATTCAGCAGGCAATGAGTCCATGACCAAATACTGAAGGGAACAGGCAGAGTCCCTAATATAACAATTAAGCACGAGGCAAACGGATCACAAAGGTTCATATAGCAACGTTCACACAGTGTCTCACTAAGCAGCATCTTCCATTGTCACTGTCACAGGAAGAATACCGGGCATCGTGGAGCACTGGTTTGACCCAGAAAGGCATCTTCTGTGTGTTTACACTCCAGATGTTATTCACCTGGGCCAATCCCTGCCCTGCCAGTTGCAGCTGGATAGAGACAGCACTGTTCCAAACTGGAAATCTTCGGCTCCCCACTGCCTCCTCAGCTCAGTTCTGTTTCCCCAGTATTGTTTCGATTACCCATCCTGTCATATACTCATACTATGGAACTAGCAGAATGCATTACTTTCACTCTCAAATTCTAGCAATACTGTTCTAGAGAAAATCTAGTAGAGCAAATGACATATTGCCAGGTAGGTAGTTGCCTTATACTCCTGTGAGTACTTTTGAGACAACAGTTTTAAACTATGAGGTGCAACTCAACTCTCCACTGCAACCTACACAGACAGACCTTGGAAACACAACCAGAACAGGTTCAGGGCATCTAGAAAACCAGCCTTACTCAAGTTCATTAGTTTTCCTTCTCCCACCTCAGTAATGCTGGTCCAATAGGCTCTTCCTCCATATTCAGTCCCAATCCAAAATGCTCTGGAGTTATGTCTTTGCTGATCTCCAGTGATCACGGCAGTCGATCAAAACTGAAAACAAGCTTTCAAAGCTGACCAAACAAGTAGATTCCAGGCTTGCAAAGAGGTTACCAAACAAGTTTAATAAAGTGCTGGGCTTGGCGTGGCACTAACACCGCCCTTCAGCAAGCGTCTGTGACGGAAACAAGTATCACCTAATGCGGAAGAGGACTGGGATTATCTGTCACAGGCTGAGCCTCAGTAGGGTAAGGCTGCAGCTGCTGGAATAACAGAGAGTCTGCTATAAAAAGCACATTGCTTGACAGCTCCAGAATTTTGGCTAGAAAAAAGGTTTCCGGAGTTCTCCCAGCATCATTACTGAAAGCACTTATTAGACAAGACTTGTTTCAAGAATGAGCAGATCAAGACTTTCCTAAATGAAACTATGCAGACAGACTTGTTTCAACATTACTTGCTCCCGAAGGGAGTGGGAAGGTCCTTGTGATACTCAATACAACAACCAGTGCGGTAAGTCTTCCAATGCTCTGGCATTTTTATATCCAGAACTCAATTTGTAGTTACTTGGAGGAGGAAAACCCTGGGACATAGTATCAAAAATCTGCGTCTATCCTTTTTTCCTCATTTTGATCCCACATCAGCTTGGTCAGGACTCTCCTGCATTGCTTACAGTCAAATTAGTCTCAGCTACTTAACAACTACAGAAAACCCAAATACATTACACTGATAATCCATAATTCCCCGTCGCTCTTGTTCTGTTTAAGAACAGGGTCTGCATTTAAGCACCTCTTTTTATAGAAAGGTCACTAGATAAATTTAGATCTATTCAGTTTGTTGGCTGTGGTAGTTTGTTTTTAGATATGCTGTTTACTGAGCAAAATATAAAAATATGATTTAGCCACTAAGAAATTTTCCCATGGAAATTATTTTTATATTTATTATTTATATTATAATTATTTTTAGGTGACCTTTCTCAAAGCCTCCAGAAAACAGTTAACAAAGAAACAGCACAACTGTAAGGACTCTTTCAGAATTATGATCAACATGGCAAACTCATACAGCTCACAGGGATACTTCAGTACTGACTGCAGAGAATAGCCTTTAAATTGCATTCAGCCTAGATCCTATTGATGATGGAGCAAGGCTTCCTGATGAAGGAGCAAGGCTTCCCTGGTGGGATGCTGTGTACCAGCCTCAGTACTGCTAGGCAAACTGCTTATTAAAGTTTCTGACCACATCAGTAAACTAAATTAAGACACAAAGGGCACCGCATACACACTGCAATCAGCTAAGCAACACTTCTGACTGGAAAATCAAAGTCAGGCTTCTATATCCAAAGAAGGGGAGCACAAAAACCATGGCAAATCCAACAGAAGAGCAAGAGAACTTTTGGAGGACACTATTAGTGAAGACAGCAGAAACCTTACAGTTGAATCTCAGTGCCACACTTTTCACATTAAACCCTACAAGGCCAGACACCTCAGTCTACTCTGCTCACCTCATGAGTCCAGCTGTCTTGCGTGGAGGAGACTTTTCTGCCTGCTTCCCTCTCTGCTTCATGTCAGACAGTCGCTGCCGCATGTTGATGGTCATCTCTGAGCTCAGACGCCAGATGAAGATACAGCTGAAAGAGGGAAAGGTGAGGTTGGAGTCAAGTATCAGTTCGGTTTATTGATATTATCAATTCCCACTGAAGATGCAAACAAGAGTCATTCTCTCTGTGGCAGAGACACAAACACAGAAAGATCTTCACAGAAACTCAATCTCATCATAAGCCTCATGACAAAAGGGTAAAACCTGCCTGGCAAAGACTCCCTAGGGCGAGAGCAACTGCAGCGATATTTGCACAGACTCATCTCTGACGCTATACCTTTATTTGACTACCTAACCAGCTGCTGAAGGAAATTCCATAACAAGTCCCTCCATGGTCAGCAGGATAAGTGGAGCCTACAGATGTCCTTTACATCTTTTAACAGTGGCTAAGCTGCAGCCTCTGATTGCAACTGCTCCCACAAGCAACACCTTCCTACCTTCTCATGGAGTCTCTCTGGTGTAGTAACAGTTAAGCTTACGTGGCAGTACTTTTTGCTGTCAGGGTGCTCCTAATGTTTTACTTGGACTCCCTCCAGGAACATTCTAAGGAATTTGATCGAATTTGGTCAGTGGATTCAGAAGCGTTTGAGAGGGAAACAAACAGTGTGATCTCATTGGTCTCATTTTCTTCAGAAATCTAGCTAAAAAATAATAATTGAAAAAATTCCTCATCACATTAGAGAATACTGTATCTCATCTTCAGCTAATGAAAGTAAAATGACCAATGTTTTCTTTGAAATTTAATCTCAGTACTAACTAATTCTTTTCATCTCACCTATCTGTCCTGTCTGGCAGGGTGTACTTACACTAATGCAGAAACAGAGGTGGGGCTTTTGCTATCATTTATAAAATCCAGCACACTGCTTTGAAATCCAAAAGAGGATTTAAGCAAGTTCTTCAAGACCCATCAGTGCCACCATACTCATGGGTACCCCAATTCACCATGGAGTTTTCAATGAGGGGCTTTCCCCTCTTCCTTGTTAGTTTATAAAAATTCATTCGCTCTGACATTTTGAACAATGGCCATGAATCTTGGTCTCCTGGACCTGAGGCAAATGCCAAAAGCACCAAGATCCTGAATGCCTGCATCTTCTCCACTTTTTTCCTCCCCAGAAGACATTTTAGAAGATTTTATTTCCATGCCACAGAAAAGAAAACAGAAACCCCATTTTGCAGTCTGCAGAGATTTTAATGAAAAACTAAAAATTCCCTTATTGTCCCCAGTGCCATTTCTCTTTGCGACAAAGCTCAGGAATGTCACTCTCAGCTACTGAAGTCACACGCAGACACAGACACTTCCCTTCAACAGTGAATGCTCTGTCATCCTCCCACTCCAGCTTTTGAGCCAGAGGAAAGCGGTGAGGCACTGCATCTGGGAACTGTGGCAACCCACAGCAGCCAGCTGCTTCCCCTCAAGCAGCAGCTCTCTCAAACCTAACAGCAACCATAACCCGCTGCTGAGAAAATACTAAAAAGCAGGAAACAAAATTCAGAAAGCAAATCTGGCTTGTTCATTTATCCCACCCCCACAGCTATCAAACCTAGAGATAAGCAGCAATTAGTATGAACTTGTAGGCATATTAGCATTCAACACAAAGCTCTACAGAAGTATGCTCCCACCTACTCTTTCTGCTACATTTTCCTTGTGTACTTTTCTCACATGGGTCTCCTAGTCCTTACGCCCTTCTCCATCTCCATTTCTCTTTCTGTTCTCAGTTTTATTCTCTGCACATGCTGTTGTGTGCAAACAGACTATTTTCCCTGTTCTCCTTTGAAAAAACATGCTTTCTCATCTCCTTACAGCCAAGTTCTTTATGAATCCTTTCCTCACTTCTCATCCACCTCTTCCACAGCTTTAGTGAAGAAAATGATCCTTTCACTCATGGAAATGGTCAAGAACTAAATCACAAGGATCATTGGGGACCTCAAACCTTCCACGTTTCTGGAATTTATCAGAAATACACAAAAAAATTACTCTTCTGCAACTTTTCTCCTAATGCATTTAACACGTGAAAGGTAAAGAAAGAGGAAAACCAAATTATTTAGTTTTTACTGAAAGACAGAAATAATCAACGGATGCAATTTAAGGCGATACATTGTATGTTCTGTAACAATTCTCTCTCTAAAACTCTTTTTCCAGTTCAATTGTGTTTTATTAATAGAAAAGAGAAAGAGAGAGAGAATCTGTGTTGCTCTGGCCTTGAAATAGCACTCCAGGAACTATCTTCCTCAAAGGAAAAATTTTATTTGGTTCAGCTGATTTAAGCATTCACTGATTCCAGAAGTAGTGGCTCCACTCACCTCTACAGTCATCACATGTATTCTCCTTTTCCCCTTGGGCTCAGTCTGGTGATTACTTAAGCTTTTGGTGATCTGATTCAGCTCACTAAATCAGCAGAAAACTCAGCCGGGGGGTGCTGATGTAGTGACTTGAATCAGCCTAATGAGGAATCATCCACATCACAGCTGATTTATGGTAACAGTAAAGAGGACCATATGAACAGGAGCAAAGAGCGAAGACAGGCTTGTCCCTTTTGCTGCTAGACAGGCTCATTCACCTGGTGGAACCTCATCAACAGGAGCACTGTGACACAAAGTTTTGGCACCACTGGTCAGAATATCACAAGCTGCATTACATTACAGACCTGAAGGCTGGTAAGGAAAAAGGCCACATCCCTGTCTCCTTTCCAGCAGCACACAGTACGCACACTCAGAAAACCACAAGGGAAGGACTTCACATGGGCATCTCTTTCCATGGAAGGATAATATAAGCTCTGTGAGCTTTACCAACAGCACACATTTAGGATTCAGAAAGCTCTGAGGTTTCTTTGGAATTCATAAAACATCCCTTTAAAAAAAAAATTCTTCTTTCCTTCAGGATACCACTTTAAATCCAGTGTGAGATGGCATGAGCAGATATCACAAGCAAGCAAACTCCTCTTACCTGTCACCAGAAACAGAGATCAGATGTTTGCAGTCATTACTGAATTTCATCCCGGTTACAATCTCTGTGTGAAATAAAGCACAGAAAAAAAAAAAAGAAAACAACAAACCTTCCCTGAATTATTCCAATGGGCAGAAGAGATCATTAGACAAAAGGCCTATCTGTACTCAGCAACTCATATTCTGATTAAAGCCAACACACTTCACAGATCAATATGCCCCAATTAACATAACCATTTAACAAAGAATCTAGGCTTGACATAGAAAAAGTATCCCACAGCAAAATGAGCACAAAGACTGGAGTCTCTTTTTGCCTATAATAGAATAGCTCCTGCACAGTAGGAGCTGAGGGTATATCATAATAAAACTTAATATGCTGAAAAAACACAGACTACCTTATAGGCTATTAAAATAAGCTGTGTAAATAAATACATGGCCTGAAAGGCATGTGTATGCTTGTATTTTGCAATGCAAAACAAGGTCCGAAAAAAGTTGAAATTGCAATGAAATAAACTATTGCAACTTCATCCAACCATAATCTATTCCAAAATACACATTGGTCAAACTTTGGTGGGAAGGAACCTTCAGAAAGTTTTGACTAGTATCAACCCAACTATCTAGTCATCAGCATTAAAAAATGCATTTCCAGAAGTTCATGTGCCTTACCTGAATGTCCATACATGGTTGCAACACACTCGCCAGAATAGAAATCAAAGATGGAGAGGTTCTTGTCAGAACAACTAGTTGCAATATAAAGACCAGAGGGATCTGTTTGCACCTGGTTAAGGAGACAAGAGAAGTGCAAAGATCTGGTGAGAAAGTGTCTTCAAACTGCATGAAAATGGTCCAGAATACCCAAGACAGTCCAACCTGACTAAACTGTTAAAACTATCTCCAACCTAATCAGAGACTAAAGGCATTTATGTTAAATGCCTAATCACTGTGAATGCACCACCACCAATGGGCAGATTATACCTGTCTCCTACCTCCTTTTCAGCCACTGGGTCTTACTTTCTTCTATCTTAAGATCAAAACAAAACAAAAAAAAAAACAACACATCAAAAAAAAAAAAATCAGGCTGAAAGAGTTAAGTGAAATATTAAAAGACTCCAATCTTGAGCAGAGAAACCAAAAAAGAACTCAACACTGCAGAGAAATTATCTGTGATAATGATGCTGTGAAATCTCCAGCATTTGCAACTCTGGGTTTTGGGTTGGGTTGGGTTTTTTTTTTTTTCATACACACCTTTATCTTGGATCAAATATAAAACACCCTCCAAATACCTCACTAGATCTAAAGCAGCACTATACAGCAAATACAGCTGAACAGCTGTCACAAAATATCTTGCTTTGTCTTAAGTAAAACTTCAAGGAACTGAGAATGAAAACGTCTGGGTTTTGAGGAAGACACAGTAAATAACAATAACTTTCTTTGGTTATGTTTATTTTGTTGCTGTATCTTTTGCTTTGCATGTCACTGTTTGGGTTCTACTTGTTAAACTGCAAGGTATATTATGATCTCAAAACTAAACGCTAAGAAAGTTTAAATTTGAGAGATAACCATAAACCCTTGGTTACATAATTGTCCTAAAAATGAACAAAGCAACAATAAAAAGAATTGAGATTCCCCACTTGAGCTACACATGAAAAAACCAAAACCATAAAGGATATTAAAAACAAAAAAAAATCCAGCTTCCAGCAGCATTTCATGGTTTGAGATCCCAGAAAGACATAGTCAAGCACCTGAGCTTACCAGTAATAACGCAATTTTTCATTTTGATTACTCTGGCTTGTAAGAAACTTTGTAGGAATTATAACAGGTTTTA